CTCACGGTTGTCCTCCTCCTCTTCTTCGGAGTCGGGATCGAGCTCATCTAGATCGTCGAGTACAAGATCCCATGCCACGAGCGTGCGCTGCTGCTGTTGATTGAAAGCCGCCAACGCGACGCTGAACGCAGCAGGCACGTTGACGGCACCCGTTTCTGACGATGACATGGTGCCCACACGGACCCAGGCTACCACCAACAACAGGCCCAGTAGCAGCATGCGAGGGAGTTTGCGCGGTGCACGCGAGACACAGGACAGCAGCTGTGTACTCGCTGCTGTGCTGCTGTGGATGGTGAACGCGGTCTAGTTGCTGCGCTGTTGTTGTGCATATGTGCGGTGCCCCCGGTGTGCATTTCCAAACGCAAAAAACCGATCGCGTCCACGTTCGGAAATGCTCATCATTTCCAAACGCATGGCCGGTTGGAAACGTGAAATCGAAAATGTTCAGGCGGAAAAGTGTCATTTCCGATCTTATAAGAAACAGTTTTTGGTCCGAATTTGGAAATCCACATTTTTGAACTGCATTTCCGAACGTTGTAAGAAACCGCCTTATCGCTGGAAGAACCAGGAAAAGTCGCCAAGTTGCCTCCAACCATGAAGAAAAATTTAAGCGCACACGCCACTCCTGCAAGCGTATATCAACGACTTCAGCCGCGGTTCCAACGGTAGGGTGACTACCAGATTGCCCTATAGCCTGCCGCCACGCTCAGACCACTGATATTTGGTAGGCAACAGCATATGAATCCTTGGCCGGGCTTGCTTTCGTTTCGATTTTTACACAGACGTTTTGTAGTGAACTGCTTGTACACCACAAAATTCATCAGCATGGTCGTGGAGGGGATAACAACCCAAGCACCCTCTGGCCTCCCAGGGCACGGATGGAAACAAAACCGTCGGGACTTTGACCTCTCATAGTGTTTTCGGTCGATGACCTACAGATAAGATATCTTTTCAATGAGTTGCTACGTTTCCCTCTGCATCACGTACAACTGCAGGTCAGCACGAGATAGCAAATGAGAGACAATGTGCTGTGTACAACCGTACTTGCGAAATAGAAGTCTTTCTTTTCCTGCACAAGTTGTTGGTTCTTGCTGGGCTTGCTAGATGACAACCTTGTCGCCCATGATATATCCCGCGATATGACCCGAGGAAGAGTGAGCTCACCCAGGCTGAGTTCCATCAGTAAGGGTGGTACCCTATGAGGCCGGGGCACACTGCCGTTTGCTCTCAGTCAAAATCTGTCGGAGAGTTGTTCCGTGTAGAAAAATAAGGAAAATTCTCCTTTCTTGGAGTTGGCGGTGAATCAAAGCGACGGCAAACTTTTCACTCACCTTTTTGGCGAGACAAGCGCAACAACTGTGGAAACTGTTTCTCACGACGTGGAGCATGGATCTGTGTGTTCATCACATGCATGCACGCGTCGCTTCATACGCGAGCTAGCTATGTTTGCGAGTGCTGCAGCTGACCGCGTGCTGTGGTGCCTGTTGCGGCTGTTTGACGTACTTCATGGAGGATCCGGTCCATCGGTGACTGACATTCAGTTTGAAAAGGAAAAGTGTAAGATTGAGCGTTGGAAATCTGGGGTTTGTCGCGCGGGATTGAATCGTACGGTGGCAAGGTAGGCAAGCAATTGAGGGGAAATCATGCTGCGAATGGATGAGTACCGTGGTGAAGCAAAGCCCTTCTCACGAGACGCATCGCAAACTCCGCGTTTCTCGTGCTGGGCATATATTCGGCTGTTTACACGTAGAGCACGGCCGCCCCGGGCCCGAAAAGAAAGAGAATCGGGGAAGCGGCGGGGGGGGGGAAGAAACGGCGACCGGACACTGCTGTAGAAGCGAGTAGGGCGGCCAAGGCCGCGCTTGCGGCGAACGACGTACCCAACTGATGATGTTGTCGCACCCTGTGTTCCCTTTTCCCTGCCGTAAGCTGTATGCTCTTAGTATTGCCTCCGGCGTCTCTTTGTGCTTCTCTTCTTTCTCTCTTTCTTGTTCTCCATGCCCTCTCTACGATGATCTTGGACGATACCTCGAGCTCCTTGTTATTTTTGTTTTTTCCTTTNCGGGTGTGGGAAGCGTTCCCCGTTCTCCTTTAATTTTATTTTGATCGGTTTCCTCGACGCTCTTTCTCGTTTGGTGCGGTAGCTGGTTTTTCTTTCTATCATTTTGTTTCTCTTCCGAGTGGTTTTTGTACCCTATTTTTTTCTGTTTCTTCGTGGGGTCGTGTATGCCGGATTTTGAGACCACGGGCTCCCAATCATTTTTTGTTTTAAAGCTAATGTGGGAAACAACAACAACGTCCTCGTGATTTCATCGGGATAGAGCCAAATATCCGACAGGATTGCAATCTCCGCTTCTGCGTCCCATCACCACAAAAATGAGAAATGTCCGGACGTGCTGCTCGGAATTTCAGCAGTTAATTCAACAAGCTGCGCGCTGCTGATGCGTTTGCACACACACAGTCACACCCAGCGGCTGAAACACATCAGCAAGTTCTCGCACAACCGTTAAACCTCTCCCGTCATTGCCCAATCCCCCCAGTACGTGATTGCACACCAGTAATAGCTATCTGTGGCCACATACACAACAGCAATGCCGCGAGTCGTCGTCAAGTGTGCTCTTTTTGCCGTTGGAACTCTCTCCCAAATATGTGGTGGGGTGGGGTGGCAGATGAGAGTCTTGCTGCTGGAACGCAGTGAAGTCTCGCACATCAGTGGAAACGTGTAGAAACACACCCGTCGTGGCGCCACCCCCCCCGGATGAAAGCACAACAGCAGCAGTGTAGTAGCAGACCTGGCTGCGCGCTCTCACACGATGATGCTGATGTGTGAACCTATCGAAAGATACGCATAAAACCAAAAACGATACCAAGCGAAAAACGAGCAAGAAAAAGTACTACACTGCTCCTGTCGGTGAGATGGAGAGCCGAGTCTTGCGTCACAGCTGCAGCAGCGCAGCACCAACCATCAACACACAGAGTAGCTCTTCATAGTCTTCGCAGGTCCCCAATGTAATGTCATGATGGTGTCTTTCGCAGGACCAGCATACATTGGGCGGTGGACGAGGGTAGTGAGGGGAACATACGCCTATGTACGACACCCGCCATAATGTCATGAAATATCACGGTTGCCCACCTAACACGGCAGTTGGTGGGGCGGTGTTTGCCGCTGTGCTGTTGCCCCTTTCGACACCAAGCTGCCCGATGGTGCTCGACCATTTTAACACAACGTGGTGCGATCATCCCCCTTGCGCGGAGTGAGGGTTCTCGACACCGCACAACATTCATGGTTAACGCCAGAAGAAAAACTGAGGGAGAAAGTAAAGCGGTAACCTGGTTTTGGAGCTCACGAAATGATGGGTCTTGTTTTACGACATCGCTGCCAAG